ACACTTATGAAAACACTTATGAAAACACTTATGAAAACACTTATGAAAACACTTATGAAAACACTTATGAAAACACTTATGAAAACACTTATGAAAACACTTATGAAAACACTTATGAAAACACTTATGAAAACACTTATGAAAACACTTATGAAAACACTTATGAAAACACTTATGAAAACACTTATGAAAACACTTATGAAAACACTTATGAAAACACTTATGAAAACACTTATGAAGAAATGAAACCGGAGACCGGTCAATAATAATTATAAACTGATTTTCTGAAAACAACCAAAACCCATTGTCATCGTTCCGCAACTGTCGGGCTTTGATTGCTCCGTGTTTTCATTTCTTCTCCACTGCAAATGTAAAGAAAACAAATCCGTGTAATATAACCCCGATGACGTCATAGACAGGAAGATGAACGCTTTCAAATCACCATAACAACACCCCCCCCCCACCCTTCATCCACAAACTGGTGTCTCCCATAGTGGTGGAGTGAGTTGAGTTAGAGTAATGGGGTTAGAGTAATGGAGTTAGAGTAATGTAGTTAGAGTAATGGAGTAAGAGATGTGGAATCAAGATGGTGGTGTAGTAATTTGGGAAACCTGTTTTGCTAATTCTCATTCTCAATCTAACTTTTAATATAAAAAAGTACAGGCCATATGCAATAGCGATCTATGATTATACATGTACCACACATGTACCACACATGCACCACACATGTACCACACATCTAACACACATGCACCACACATGTACCACACATGTACCACACATGTACCACACATGTACCACACATGTACCACACATGCACCACACATGCACCACACATGTACCACACATGTACCACATATGCGCCAAACATGCACCACACATGCACCACACATGTAATACACATGTACCACACATGCACCCCACATGTATCACACATGCACCACACATGCACAACACATGCACCACACATGCACAACACATGCACCACACATGTACCTCACATGCACCACACATGTACCACACATGTACCACACATGTACCACACATGTACCAGACATGTCCCACACATGTACCACACATGTACCACACATGTACCACACATGTACCACACATGCACCACACATGCACAACACATGCACCACACATGCACAACACATGCACCACACATGCACAACACATGTAACACACATGTAACACACATGTAACACACATGTAACACACATGTACCACACATGTAACACACATGTAACACACATGTAACACACATGTAACACACATGTAACACACATGTAACACACATGTAACACACATGTAACACACATGTAACACACATGTAACACACATGTAACACACATGTAACACACGGTTCCGTGACAAACGCGCACAGACAATCCCGCAATGACACAAATGCGCACAGGACAAACGCGAACACCGATAGTTGCGCACACGGACAATGGCGCACACAGACAAATGCGGACACCGACAATCCCGCACAGTGACAAATGTGAACGGTTATATAAGCGCACACCGACAAATGCGCAAATAGCAAGTTATGCATCGCCAATTTAAAGATGATAATGGATTTAGTCTTAGTTGGTTTTCAGCCAAAATACATCATGTTTAAAGCTAACAATATATTAATAATCATAATAAATGTAATAATAATTGTATGCATATTTTTAAAAAAATTAACTTTTAAATGTATAGACTAATAGTATAGTAATAAAATGTTCGTTCTAGTAGTACTGCTACGTCATGATTTTTAACAGATGTCATTTAAAAAAATTTAATTGGATATTTAAGTCTTAATCAGCATGTTAAACCATCGTAGTATGATGGAAGCTCGTAAAATGATTATTAAACAAATAACAGCAGTACTACTACTTAAGCATATAGTTGAAAATAAGACGTATACTTATACATTATACTAAAAATAATTGTGGTTTTTATTTTAATAAAAGAAAGAGGAATATTAGTCTTAAAATAAGAGTTGGCATTGCACGTTTCTAAGGGCAAAGTAAGTTTTAAACCATGCATTCATGCAACCGATTTGAAAAATTTTTATTAGAACAAACTCATACAAATTTTCGTTCTTCCGTCCGGAATTCGGGCGTGGAATGGGTTGCCTGAAGAAACCAGGAAAGCCAACACTTTATCAACATTTAAAACTCTAAAAAGAATGCAGGACTAAACACAAACCATAGATAAGCGTAGGACGCAATAATCTTCTGTATAGAAGGAGCGTCTGAAACAGATAAGAAGAAGAAGAAGATAGTTTCAAAATTGTAATGAAAAGAAAGAAAAATGGTTGAATTATCTTTAAAATTTAAATGTACATTTAAACTTTTCAAAATAAAACACATAACAGTTAAATGTTTCTAAAAAATTTGAATTTTTAAAAGAGAAAAAATAAAGAAATGTATACATGAGGCATACACATATGAAATTATTATTAAATCTTGTTACACACGACAATTTGACAGGTTCACTACTTAATAACTCTTTGATTGACCAAAAAAAAACTAACTTAGATATACACTTTCTTTGGCCATTTAAACTACTGACAGATATGATTCAGTATGGTAGTACATGTAATTATTATAGCCATTATGGCTAGGGAGATACACTAAAATATCAAAACTATTTGTAAACTTTCGTCACAATGTTTAATGAAAATACTGCCTTTCATTTTCACACTTTCCATAAAGCAAGTCACTTAAAAATATATTGAGTTATTGTTAAAAAATACTTTTCATCTGAACATTTGAGAAGTATTCAATAACAAATAAAAAGCTATTAAATTTTAAATCTAGTGCTACAAACTCTTCACATTGTCATTTAATTGACTTATTGGCAAAGAGTCCTTAAAAATCATTCCCCCCCCCCCAAACATATGTGTTTGTCTAGAGTCTACTATACTAATACTTAACTATTACAGAATTAATGAGGAAGCACTAGAGCTTACTTAATAGCAACAGGTATAAAAAAAATAATTTTAACTGAAAGAATATTGCTGGAAATTATAATAATATATAGAGTAGTAATGACCTTTAATTTGAAGTTTGCGTATTGTTCTAATGGTAGTTTAAATCCTAATTGCAAAGTTATGTGTAATAAAATATCAACAGTAATTTCATCATTCAATTAGGACTTCCTTCTACACTATAAATAACCAAG